AACCTGTGGAACGGTGTGGGATTGAAACCCGAGTTTTGCTGTCCTCAGCAGCTATTAATTAGCGTTGGCTCAAACCATGGGTGTTAGGAACAGGGCGAGGAATGAGCCGTTGTACTCCTTTTAAGCCTCAAACCTATTTTGTTGCAAGGATTTTGATGCAGAAAAGCAGGGTGAGTGTATAGGCGATGCAGAGCCTGCAGAGGTGTTGTGTGCTGGTGCTGAAGTCTTCTTGTCTGGAGTAGGAAGTTCTTAAACTTAAGAATGCTAAATATAAATACTTGAAGTCTTTTCTGATCAGATTTTTACTCTGAAATCTCTATGTGGGATCATATCTGAGTTTTGCTGTGATTTGCTTATTTCCGTAGCGTTAAACGCCTTCTCTGCACTAGACTTGCGAAGAGCCTGCCTTTTCCAGGATGTCTGGCACCAAACCCTCATCCTCTACCAAAAAATTCCCCACATCCAGCATTTAGGAGCGTGGCAGCTCGGAGCAGGAGGTGAGCAGCGCTGCTCGGGCGCTCCTGCGAGAGCAGAGCATCCTCCGCCAGCGTCCAGGGAGCTCCCGAGGCACCCGCAGACTCAGCAGAAATTGCCTTGTGAAGCAGGGATGGAAGAAAATTGAATTTAAATAAAAACCTGCTTGTGGTTTGGCTGTGGGCAGTGCTTTCTCCAAATGATGAGCAGCGGGGTGGGAACCTCGCTCTTCATGTCACAGAACCACGGAATCCCAGCCTGGCAGGGGTTGGCAGGGCCCTCTGTGGGTCACCCAGCCCAACCCCCTGCCCAAGCAGGGTCACCCAGAGCAGGCTGCACAGCACCGCGTCCAGGCGGGGCTGGGATATCTCCAGAGAAGGAGACTCCACAGCCCCTCTGGGCAGCCTGGGTCAGGGCTCCGTCACCCTCAGAGGGAAGAAGTTCTTCCTCATGTTCAGCTGGAGCTTCCTCTGCTTCAGTTTGTGCCCGTTGCCCCTTGTCCTGTCGCTGGGCACCACTAGAAAGAGCTTGGCCCCATCCTCCTGACACCCACCCTGCAGATATT